CAGCTTGAAGTCGAGAATCTTGAGAGACATTCCAAAAAAAAAAAGGTTTTAACTTCGGCCTGGTAAAAACTGCTGCGGTGTTGTATTTGAGTCAACAAAATTTCCTCCCTTGAACTTTGTTCCTTGATATGAAACCAGAGAGGAATCTTTCCACTGCAGGCCCCGAAAAAGGCTCAAGAAATGAACTTTGGTGCAGACGGCAGCCGAGGTAATCAGCGCTCATCTCTATCTTTGCTCCTCTCCATATTCCCTCCATTCCAGTACATTAGAAGGAGTAATTGCTAACGCCGGCTTCATTGGGAGGAAATGGAGATTGAAAAAATGTACAGCCGACTCTTCAAGTGCAACCACGTCAGTGTGCATGTGCTGAATGCACAGACACAGAAGCATGTGAAACTATCCTGCACTATCCTATCCTGTATCTTGTGCGTATATTATGTAGTGAAGGAGTGTGTTGACAGTGCACAGCGTAAACCTGAACTATCGTACAAACACACTCACACACTGTCCTGAGAGAATTATCAGGCGGACCCTGTCCTTTGGTCCACACACACACACATACGTGCACACGCACAGTCGCGGTGTATTTAAAGGGTTGGGCTTGAACTCGCTGTCTCTCTCATTGTGACAAGTACTCCTCAAGGCAAACTACTACCTCCACTCACAAGTCAAAAATGCCTGCAGACTACAGTGGACGTTGGGAGATGGTGAGCAACGAGAACTTCGAGGAGCTCATGAAGGCTCTCGGTAAGTCGCCCTCTTACAGCCTGCTTAATGCATAACAGCATGGAAAGGGAGACTGCAGCTTGGGAACCCTCATTAAAATCAAGAGTCAATTACAAGTTTGCATTTAAAGATGCAGCCAAGTAGGGAGAGAGGCATGAGCAGAAAATTTGGGACGAGTGACAGAAGGAGAGTGAGTGCAGCATTATGAGGAGGAGGGAGGGCGAGGGAAAAAAAGATGTGGCACTGCTTCATTTCCTCATTGAGCTGCTGTCAGGCCAAGTTAACCTCCAGTCTGTGAGCGGTTGCCGTCTGTTACCGCGCCAAATAAATATTGATTCACTCCTTTCTGAATTTTCATCCTCCTGATCGGGAGAAAAGGAAGACAGATTCCGACCCTGGATCAGGCAGCGGGCCAGCTCGTCATAAAATAGAGAGTGAGACTAGCATCTCTCTCTCTCTCTCTCTCTCTCTCTCTCTCTCTCTCTCCCTCACTCACTCTCGGCTTTCCTCCTTTTGGCGCGTCATTGATCAAGCCTAGAAACACTTTCATTATTCACGACCCTATCTGCAATTCATAAAACAACCCTGGTACACTCAGCTCACACAAAATCCGGGAAATTCTGAATGCCGCCACCTAATTTCCATCGAGCGGATAGGAAAATGACATCCTTATGGAAATGGGTCAAAAATATTATTTAGATGGGTAAATATATGGGCCCCATCTGTAAGAGTGATGGGAAGAAATTGAATTTTCACGTTAGGGCAATTGGGATATGAATATCTAAACGGTCGGGGAGGGTGGCTCTCAGGGCCCGATGCTGAACGGGGGCGGAGGAACTCATTTGACTCGGGGCAAGGTCATTTTTAAAGGGTAAATGAGACTGTCAAAAGGACCAGTAGGAGAGGAATCATAATAAGTGGCCTGGAGTGTCGTGTGTGTGTGTGTGTGTGTGTGTGTGTGTGTGTGTGTGTGTGCGGATGTGTGCTTTGGTGTGTCTGTGCAAATAAGGATTTATTCTGTAAAAACCGTCCCAGTTACACACACATACGTGACTGACTGACTCACGCTGCTGCCACTGACTTTAAATTCCATTCATTTATGTTTGCAGACATTGACTTTGCCACCAGAAAGATAGCCTCCCACCTGCATCAGACAAAGGTGATCGTCCAGAGCGGAGACAAGTTTGAAACAAAGACCCTGAGCACCTTCAGAAACTACGAGGTCAACTTCACCGTGGGGGAGGAGTTTGAGGAGTACACAAAGGGGCTGGACAACCGAAAGGTCAAGGTGGGACTGTTTTCCTATCCTAAACCAGGAACCATGACAGTGTTCTCTTGCTTTTGAAAAATAACCTTTGTGTGTGTTTGTGTGGTGATATCAGACTCTGGTTAACTGGGATGGAGACAAGCTGGTGTGTGTTCAGAAGGGGGAGAAAGAAAACCGTGGCTGGAAACACTGGATCGAGGGAGACCTGCTACACCTGGTGAGAGAAAGTGTGACACGTTGCCTAAATCATGGGAGAGTTGTAAAAGTTTATATTTGATATATTTGCCTGGAAATTGGATGCTCCTGCGTGACCACAGCTGCAGCAGCTTGCAAATTCATTCCCTCAATTAGCCACACGTTACTACAAAGTAAACACAATCTCAACGAGAGTACACTTTCTCCCCACACCTGCTTGATTAAATATATTCCAACCACTAAATTAGATTAGACTATCGCAATAACAATAAACAAGATAATGAATCACTATCTAAAACACACAAACTGTAAGCTCTGCCTGATTATGTAACCAAGAGGCATTTGTTGCATCATGCTGGACTCGCAGTCTAAAGGTCTGTGTCTTCTCTTTCAGGAAATCACCGTGCTCGACAAAGTCTGCCACCAAGTATTTAAGAAGGCCCAGTAGGATGAAAAGTGTCTGTCGTGTGTCGCGTGTTTCTGCCTATTTATAATGTAATTGAGAAGACCTGTAATGTACTGACTCAGTACAGCTGTTCTCTTTTAATTGTGTTTTTTTAATTAAAATATGTATTACAATTACAGAGCAAGTAGTTGTTTTCCATATTTAAGTCCAGCCTCACACACACACACACAATTATACATAACCAGTGGACTCTAGTGTTGTCTGTGTTGTACTGATATGAAGAGGCCCAGCCCGTGGCTATCTTTGGAGGCTATCTCCATTTATTCCTGACAGCTAGAGGTACAAACAAAATCCAAAATCCAACGAAATCCTCCATCAATTACTAAAATGAACTTATAAACAGCTTAACAGCACTAAAACACACAAATTACTACAAGAGCAATGTCGCTTACCTCTCCCATGGAACACAAAAGCAAAACGGTAGAGGCAAGGCAGGAGACACCCCCAAAGGTGAACGTAGGGGTAGTATCAAACGTTCCGCATATTGAGTACAGAGGTCTGAGCGTGTCAGGTAATAACAACTGAAACAAATTGCGTGTAATCATAATGCACATTTAACTTTGTTACTCAGGTCCTCTACCAGAGGCCTCGCGTTTGAGGGTTCTGCGCAGTACCTTAGCTGTTCCTAGGACCGCACTCTTCTAGACAGACACCTCAGATGTTATACCTGGAATCAGCTGGAGCCACTCTCCCAGTTCGTGGGTCACTGCCCCCAGTACTATGATTACCACTGGCACCATTGTTGCCTTTACTCCTCACATCTTCTCTAGCTCCTCTTCCAGCCCTTGACATTTTTCGAGGTTCTCGTGCTCCTTCTTCCTGATGATGCTGTCGCTTGGGATTGTTTCATCTATCTATCAACACAATGTCCGACTGGTTAGCCATCCGAGTTTGTCAGTCTTGATATCTTAGCTCAGTCATTCTTAACAACCTTAGGAGGCGTCTTCCATTGTGACCTTGGGAGTTCCAGCCCATACTCAGTGCAGATTATCATGTACACTATGCCAGCCACTTGATTATGGCGTCCCATGTGTACTGTTCATACATACATATACTGTAGATTAGATAGATATGATTGCATAAATTGATTATAAGATTAGGCTTACAGCACATAAAAGACATTTATTCAGGTTTTGAAACTGACCTCTGCACTTAAAGTTTTCTCATATATGAAAATAAGTGTTGAATATTTGCACTTCATATTATAAAAAGAACGGTGCTAATGATGCACTGTAAAAAAAAAAAAAAAAAAAAAACTGTTAAGAATAAAACTAGTTGAAGTTTCATATCCATCCTAAAATTCTCTGATCAGACAAAAGACCCAAAGGCCATTTTAAGCCCTGGTCATATCTCCTATTGGTTTGGTAAAAGTAGGGATTAAGACTCAAAAGTAAACTTGGTGGATAGTGTGTGTTTTCTACAGTGTACAACAGCGCGAGCTCACAGGTACAACATGTTCTGCCGGATCTTGAGCTGCTCCCGCAGGAAGCAGTGGAGGATCCACGTCGCCAAAACAAGATGCGTCAAGTCAGACAGCGGCAGAGAGAGTTTAACCGGAAAAGGGGCGTGTTGTCTTCAAAATAAAAGCCTTACATTTACTAGCAACACGTATACAGTACTGTCGATAGATATTACAAGTTGATATTGTGCAATAATGTAGCCTACTTGTTATTTAATTAAGCACCTGCTGTAGCCAATGTCTGCATGTAGGCGTTTAATACACTGAAACAATGTCCACCTGAGCAGCCTTCTCATGCACCTTATAGTTCTTCAGTTGTTTATCTGTGCATACAATTACAAAAAAGTAACATAAGAAAATGCACGGGTGAGATTACAATAACCCCATAAGGCTTATAAAAGGACGCCACCTAACACTGAAATAAAATTCAGCTGTATTACTGCCAATTTACAAACAAAAAATATTTCTTTTAAATATCTAAAAAGAAAAATGCCTTGCAATTACAAATACTATTCTTTTTTTCTTCTTCTTTTTTTTAAATTAACAGTTTGACCATAATGCAGTCAATGTATGTTATTGTCCATTTGGTGTTTATATAACCAAACAAACATATAACTATTAAATATATTCTCAGAACTATGTACATAAGGAGCTTGTGGAAGTTGCTATCAAATAAATCTGATTGTTATAATTAATCCCCAGATTTTTATTTTATTTTATTTTTTTTTTTCATGTCGTTTCGTTTCGTTTTATTTAAATTTTATTTTATTTTAATTTCATTTTTCATTTCTTTTTTTTTGTGCCGATTACTAGTGAAAAACACAAGATCATATCTGGGCTATTAAATCAAAAGTTTCGGTTTTATAAACTGTTCCGCAGGCTTGTGGTTACATTTAATGTTTAATTTTTCAGAGACCACTTACTTTATTGTGAAAATAATTTCAGGAAGTCATTCTGTTTCTATTTCTGCTCGCTTGGTTGCAAAACTTTCTCCACTGAGTTCCACAGCAGAAGCCCGACGAGGGCAACAGAGAAGCCGGTCACTTTACTGGACAGCACCGCAGAGACTCACTGACGTGGAAACATGGTAGGCGGAAATAAAACAACAGAATCATTCACTATAATTTTATTTGTTGTTGATTGCTGTTTGATGGTTGTTTGTCAGTGGGACGCGGCACCATGTGCGTACAATCACTATCCATAAACGTTTAAAGTAAAAATGGAAACACCGTCCAAAACATACACTATACGTGGTACATGGAGCAGCTGTGAGCAAAAACAAACTCACTAAACTGCAAATATTTTATGATCAACAACGTTAAATGCAGCACAGAACAACATTCTTCTTTACTCTTGTGTTGTATTATAAAGTTGTTATATTTGTGTGAGATTTCCAGCGTCCATTCATCCCATTAAAAGCAGACAAATGAAAAGGCTACTCATTTTCATTGACATGATTAGACTTGAAAGGATCCAGTCATTATGGAGCAGGCATGCATATAAAATGTGGAATGGGCAGTATCAACAGACACACCCCCTCCATGACTCTCTCCAAAACCTCAAACAGGGTAGAAAGCAACATTTTGTCATTGTTTCCACCTTTACTTATGTAAGTCACTGAATTTAAAGTGTCTGCAGTGCTAAACATGCCATATGGACTGTGATATTTAAAACACAGGCTGATTATTTTGTGTTTTTTAATCCATCTTTGATGAGAGGAGCAGATTAGTGACCTGATTAAACTGCTGTTGATTAATATCCTTTGTTCTTTCCATCATAGCCTCTGCGGTTAGACATCAAGCGGAAGCTGACTGCTCGGTCAGACCGGGTGAAGAGCACTGATCTGCACCCCACTGAGCCCTGGATGGTGGCAAGCCTCTACAGCGGCACTGTGGTGGTCTGGAACCACGAGACACAGGTCGCTATCAGTCAATTACGCGTTCTGCCTTTGATCACTGATGCAGTCGTTCCTGCACACACACAATCGCTTCATATTTCTCCATCGCAGCTTGTGATTATCTGATAAAAATAATGTATAATGTTGATCTGGTTTAATCACTCCGGTGTGTGTGTAGATGATGGTGAAAACCTTCGAGCTGTGTGACCTGCCTGTCAGAGTGGCCAAGTTTGTAGCCAGGAAACACTGGGTCATCGCTGGAGCAGTAAGTACTGTGACTCAGTTAATGTATATTTAAGTTGCAATCTATCAGTACCTGTCCTTTCAGCAGTGGGTGACAAAGTACACATCTTAATCACTTGAGTCAAAGTATAGATACTCCTGGCCAAATGTTACTCCAATACAAGTAGAAGTGTATGAGTAAAATTAGTACTTGAGTTTAAGTAGAGTACTTGCAGGCTAAGCAAAGCATTCTAGACGTCTCTCTCCCCAGCCTTCGGGCTCAGCTCTCTCCTCACCACAACGCTCCAGCACAGCATCCGCATCAAACTGCCGATACATCTCGCTCCATTCTACCCTCACATGTGAACAAGACCCTGAGATACTTGAACTCCCTCGCTTGGGGCAGTAACTTTCCCCCAACCTGAAAGGGGCAATGCACCATTTTCCTGCAGAGAACCATGGCCTCAGATTTGGAGGTGCTGACCCTCATCCCAAACGGCTTCACATTCATCTGCAAACCACCTCAGTGCATGTTGGAGGTCATGGTGTGATGAAGCCAACAGAACCACATCATCTGCAAAAAGCAGAAATGCAATTCTGAGGTTCCCAAACTGGACCTCCGGGGGGACCTTCCTCCCCCAGGCACCTTGAGATCCTGTCCATGAATATCACAAACAGAATCGAAGACAAGGGACAGCCCTGGTGGAGGCCAACACCCATTGAGAACGTGTTGACTTTGTGCCAAGTATGCGGACACAGATCTCACTTTGGTTATACAAGGACCTGGTTGGCTCGTAGCAGTGAACCTGTTATCCCATATTCGCGCAGTACCCCCCACAAGACTCCCCTTGGAACACCTTCGAAAGCCTTTTCCAAGTCCACAAAGCACATGTTTAATGGATGGGCAAACTCCCACAAACCCTCCAGTAGCCCTGCAAGGGTAAAGGGCTGGTCCATTGTTTCCAACTAGAAGGGAATCTGCATTGCTCCTCCTAAAACGGAGGTTCGACAATTGGTCGTAGCCTTCTTTCCAGCACCCTGGAATAAACTTTCCTGGGGAGTCTGAACAGTGTGATACCCCTGTAATTGGAGCACACCCTCCAGTCGCGGACCCTAATCCTGCCACTCCAAGGGCACTGTACCCGTCCTCCAAGCAACACTGAAAAGTCTCAAAAACTATACTGATGTAAATGTGCTTTGTAACTGTCCACCACTGCTTTTCAGTATGTTAACTGACAAAAAAATCAAGTGTTAAATTAGGATGCACGTGCTTTTCTCCTATAAAGCATCATAGTTAAATGGGAAATGTTTTTTAAGGTATGCATTTACAAAAATAGTGTCATTTCTTAATTGTTACATACAAAAATCACCAGGTCAAAATTGATCTAATTTGGGTTGTTGGAGCACACACACGATCCTGGCTTAACTTTGCCCAGTACTCATGAGTAATAAAACAATCGGGCCACCACTTACATCCAAGACAAGTTACTATAATATAACTTGTCTTATTCTGCATGTGGATCCTTTGTTGTTTCTCAAAATAATCCTTTGTCATGGGTTAATTTGATGACCCAGTAGTTTTCTACCCATGTGCAGTGCTGCTCTGCTGCCACTCCTCTGTGCAGGAGACAAATCTGTGTTTTTGTGTTTTGTTCAGGACCAAACGCGCTTCTCAGTTTCTTTGTCTGCCCCCAGGATGACATGCAGATCCGTGTGTTCAATTACAACACGCTGGAGCGAGTTCATATGTTTGAGGCTCACTCTGACTACATCCGCTGTATCGTTGTCCACCCTACACAGCCCTACGTGCTCACCAGCAGTGGTAGGAAAGAACTATATAAAACGTCCAGTATTTCTAACTGTAAATAAGTATAGCACATTCAGCACTTATCATGGTGGTGTTTTATCTGTGTGTGTTTTCAGATGACATGTTGATCAAGCTGTGGGACTGGGACAGAAAGTGGACGTGCAGTCAAGTGTTTGAGGGACACACTCACTACGTCATGCAGATTGTCATCAACCCAAAAGACAACAACCAGTTCGCCAGTGCATCTTTAGATAGAACTATTAAGGTATACACACAAACACACACAGAGACACATGCAAATGCTTGGAAGAGCACACAAGAGAACTTTGCTTTAGGGCACAAACAGCAGACGCTGGGTGCTGTTCTTCCAGTTTAAATGAAGGTAAATGTGACAGAAAGGAGGAACATATTCGTCATAGCCAGAGGTAACAAGGTTTATGGGAGCTGTGGTCTCAATTCTGGGAAACACCATCACTAACCACACCACCTCTGTGAGATAGAAGCCTTTAATCATCTTGATCAAGGCCTCATTTGCCTTCACCTAACTGATATTTACTATCTCTCTTTTTGCAGGTGTGGCAGCTGGGCTCCAGGACTCCCAACTTCACTCTGGAGGGCCACGAGAAGGGTGTGAACTGTATTGATTACTACAGTGGAGGAGACAAGCCCTACCTCATATCAGGGGCTGATGACCGCCTGGTCAAGATCTGGGATTATCAGGTACCACTTACACTAGAGAGTTCTTTTGCTCAGTATTCTGCGGCAGTTTACAAGGTTTAGGTAATAATGGTAATTTTATCATTATTTTATCAATAGTTTTTATTTCTTTGCCGTACAAGACACTGCTATTTCACAAAATATGCATCCTCCAGTAATACATATACAGAAAAAAGATCATTAACATCATAAGTAGGTCCTGAAGCTTTCAAATAACATATTGATGTGGAAAATCCCAAAATTAACTGCACACCAAAACAACTGCTATAGCCTAAAGCTTTTTGTCTCATCTCCCAGGCATTCTCCAAGTAACTGTCCAATTTAAATCTTTCATATGTGAGCAGTCAGCTGAGTCTTTGTGAATCATCCATTCATTTATGTTACCAAGCATGTGCTGCCCAGTAAGAAGGAAGATAGAAAAAAGAAACGGGACTTTTCTGTATCATTCAGACAGCAGATAGAACAAATCCACTTATCTTCTTCCAGACTGACACTTTCAGCAGTAAGTGGTTAAATACCAGATCTCAGCTCAGCACATTAAAATCTTTGCTTTTTAGATCAATTATATTCGACGTAATTCGCATTAGCATTTCCTTATTATTTATTATGTCATCCTAAATGTACATAGTTTTGGTTTAGTCCATATATCATTTGCAAATTACTCTTTACTATCAGCAAATACATTCTCACAGTGGAAGACATTATTAAAAAATGCCTCACCAAAAGCCATAGTTGTAGAACAATATACATATCTTCCAGCGAGCCTCACATGGTTCTCATCCCATATAGAGAATAAGTAAGTGCAGCAGAAGTAGTAGGTGTAGTTGTATCTGTAGGGAAAGCAATAACAGGGATGCAGTTCTACAATGCTACGTATATGTTTTCAAATTTCAAAATGTTTGTCTAGGGTTCATCCATTATTCAGAGAACTAAATATCTAGTTTCCTAAAGGAGTTCTATTGTATTTAGGAGCTCTACAATATTTATAGCATAACTGTGATTCAGAGGTCTGCATACGGTTCTCAACATTGGGGTGGCTGGGCCAGCAGCTAGCAGCTAGTGGTGCTAACAGTGCGAACAGTGCTGACAACGGCAACAGTGCTAACAAAGCTAAGAGTGTTAACTGGGGGTAAACTGGAAGATGGGAGCCATGTTTTCATGACAACAACGTACAGATGTCAGTTGTAACCACTGAACAGGGTTCCCAAGGTCATGGAAAACCTGGAAAAGTCATGGAATTTGTAAACATAATTGAAAGTTTTGGTAAACTCATGGAATTTTGTGGTTTGTAATTAAATTCATTGTTACAGAGATCTTCCGGGCATAACCTTCCATGTAATGTAACATAATGGCAAATTTATTTTCTGTAAGCTAGCCATTGACATAACGTAGCTTTAATATGCGTTATCCTAGAGCTGCATGATATATTGTTTCAGCATCGTAGAGATGCGCAATAGTAACATGGAAGGAGGTACAATGTCAAGTAAGGCAAATTAACTCAAACAACCTATTAGAGGCTTGATAAAAATGGAAAACTTGAACGGTTCTCCTATTTAATAATGTATACCAGCCAAGTTGTCCACTTTAAGACGTCATGTGTATGTGACATAGTTTGGCGGCGTTTGTTATGGGCAGTGAGACTCTCCTGCATGTGTGTGTCTAAAAAAAGTACCATGACCAGGCCAGCAAGTTCAGCAGACACAATTAGGTGCATGCTTTTCCAAAATGATTTCCAGTTCTATTATGGGTCCTTGATAAGTCATGGAAAACTTTTGAAATTTTGTCCCTGACTGAATGAGTGCAGTGCAGAGCGGCTGTGGAACACACACAGGGGACTCACATGCACAAACATGCACACATTGCTGGACTGTCTACCACAACAAAGAACAGAGAAGCTCTGATCACAGCACACACAGAAGTAGCTTGATTTCACTCTCTGCTCAGGACGCCGTTACTCCACTATATCTTCATATAGCAAATAATTAGTTGCCGCTATGTGTTGTGTGAAGCTCATTTAAAGTGGCATAACTTTATCAAGCATGCATTTAATATTTTGAATAAAACTTCCATACACTCCAGTGTAGCAGGTGGCATGTGCATATTATTCTGTGTGTTAATATTCAGTGTTACATATTGGTAACAAACACACATGAGCAGTTCAGATTTTAAAAAAACATACTATTGCCAGTGGTATTATTTGATGAGTGCATATGCTTTTGTCTTTATCTACCAGAACAAAACCTGTGTTCAGACCCTGGAGGGTCACAACCAGAACGTGACCTGCGTCTGTTTCCATCCGGAGCTGCCAATCATCCTCACCGGTTCCGAGGATGGTGGGTTTTGTATTTCAATGAAACATTTTTAAAGCTTAAAATCAGAACGGCATTTTATTTCGCTTTGACCTCTTTGTTGTTTCCATAGGCACTGTGCGAGTGTGGCACTCCAACACCTACCGACTAGAAAACACGCTCAACTATGGCATGGAGAGAGTGTGGTGTATTTGTGGCCAGCCTGGCTCCAACAGTGTGGCTCTGGGCTATGATGAAGGCACCATCATCATCAAGGTATACAAAGCAGTATGACTAAGTTTTAAATTTTCAATATACTTGATTTTAAGTGCTGTACGGTTCTTTAATTCCTTAATTCCTCACATAAATGACTGAATATACAAAGTAGGAGCAGGCTGATGTGAGCAGCTCATCTCAGAACATTAAGAAAACAATATAATGCAGTTTTTAAGAAAAGTCATTATTTAGATATTACCATTTTTTCCCAATTTCATTCTCCAGCTGCATTTGACTTTTGATTAAGGCCCAATCGATGGGCCCTTGGAAGCCGCTCTTTTGTCAGTGGGGCCCTGAGGACAGCAGCCAGGAACCACAGACTCATGAAATAATGTTAATAATCTCTTGTAAACAGAAAATGGAACATTAATGCTTAATTTTTAAACTGTAAACAACTCCACAGGTTATTAACACCCAAAAATGGAGGATACGACCTCTTTATCCTCAGTAGCAGCTATGAGCAGTTACATAACACTGCCTCAGTTTGATAATATTACATAGCAGATTGTGTATGCTGAAGGAATGTTTGTTGACCTGCGGTATTAAAATGGTGCCCCTCGTTGTCACCACAAATCTGGCACCTCATCTTCCTGTTCCCTCACCCTGTCTGTCTCAGCTGGGACGGGAGGAGCCAGCCATGTCCATGGACTCCAGCGGGAAGGTCATGTGGGCTCGCCACTCCGAAGTGCAGCAGGCAAACCTGAAGGCCATGGGAGAGACTGAGATCAGAGATGGAGAGAGGCTGCCACTGGGTGTCAAAGACATGGGCAGCTGCGAGATCTTCCCCCAGACCATCCAGCACAGCCCCAATGGGAGGTGAGAGTGGTGGGCTGTGGGTGGAAACAGTGGTAATAAGAGGTTATATATTTTTATGGCAGGGATTTATTGAATTCTCAGTTCTGATTGCTAAGGTTCTGATCACAGATGCTTAGAGAACGCAATGAATTATTTTTAAATGTGTCAAATTATTGATTTCTTTAGTATGTAGGCGTGTAATAAGCGGGATAATGTACAGCAAGCAGGTCCTTAATGTGGAATGAGGCCTCAATGCATAGCTTAGGGGTCTTGAATCATCCTACACATAATGTATATTATCTGTTTTCATTTTTTAATATATGTCCTGATTTGTGCTGTTGAGACATGCTTCTAGTTTTTATATCACTTGGAGTAAGAGCACATTGAAGTTTCTGGACTGAACTGTTTGTGTCTGATCACAGTGTTAATGTCCAGAACACGTGTTAACCTGATTCTTTGGGGGGTGAGAATAGTATGTGTCCTCCCTATTTTATATCCTGATATGTATGCGTTTTGTGTGTGTGCAGATTTGTAGTGGTGTGTGGAGATGGGGAGTATATCATCTACACCGCCATGGCCCTGAGGAACAAGAGCTTCGGCTCAGCTCAGGAGTTTGTCTGGGCCCATGACTCATCACAGTAAGTCAACATTGCTTTCTTGCTGCGAGTTAGATGAGAAGGTTGATACCAGTCTCTATCTGTATGCTATTTCTTGGCTTTAGCTTCGTATTTAGTGAACAGACCAAAGCGCGGTCTTGGATCTCATCTAACTGTCCCAAAATGTTTTGTAACAAGAGTGATTAACTTCCCCCTCTGATGAGGTCAGTGACATTATAACTAAGTGTTTATGTTATTTCCACAGGTATGCCACTAGAGAAGGCAACAGTATGGTCAAATTATTTAAGAACTTCAAAGAGAAGAAGGCTTTTAAACCTGATTTTGGGGCTGAAGGTGAGTTCTGTTGTTTTTTCCTTGTGTGGATAGTACAATGTGTATATGCAAGTATGTCTCATCTTTGGTATCCTGCTGTCCCACAGGTATCTTTGGTGGCTTCTTACTCGGAGTGAGGTCAAACAGCGGCCTGGCCTTTTACGACTGGGAGACTGCTGAACTGATTCGCCGCATCGAGATCCAGCCTAAACATGTGAGTGTTGCTGCTATGGCTCTCACGTCTTCAGCAGTCTGTCTGTTGCCCTCTTATAATATCTTGTCTTTGTGTCTTTAGATCTTCTGGTCCGATGGTGGGGAGCTTGTGTGTATCAGCACAGATGAGTCTTTCTTCGTGCTGCGCTACCTACCGGAGAGAGTGGCATCAGCTCAGGAGTCCAAGGAGGAGATAACGGAGGATGGGATAGAGGGCGCCTTCGAGGTCAGAGACACGTAGTAGAGAATTTCCTGAACTAATGTGCAAGGATATTATTTGCAGGATATAATCTCCAGAAGCACGTGATGAAAAGCAGAGAAATTTTATCACCTACTACATTTTCATTTTTAAAAACTTTTGCCAATCTTTGGTGTCATTTGAAACGTCTATTGAGGAGTTGTGGTTTCTCTTTTAGGTTTTGAGAAATGTTAATGGGAGTTTCCAATGGTGTCTGTCTTGTTTCTTCCTGGTGCCCAGGTGCTGGGTGAGGTCCCTGAGGTGGTGAAGACAGGAGTTTGGGTGGGAGACTGCTTCATCTACACCAGCTCTCTTAACAGACTGAACTACTATGTTGGAGGAGAGATCATCACCATTGCTCATCTGGACAGGTATACTATGTGTATGCATGTATTTTTAGAAAGATGTACCCATTTATGTTTATTCATCTCTGAACTTGGCCATCCACAAGGCATGCTGGGAAAATCTGCTGCACAGTTTTGAATCCACTTGATGTCTCATGGCGTCCACTGTTCTCTTTCCATCCATTTCTATCCCGTAAATTAAAAATACCATGAAAAATTCTCAAAGCAATGCCTTTCTGGTTTTAGGACCATGTATCTGCTGGGCTACATCCCCAAGGACGATCGTCTCTACCTCGGAGACAAGGAGCTGAACGTCATCAGCTACGCCCTGCTGCTGTCAGTGCTGGAGTACCAGACAGCTGTCATGAGGAGGGACTTCAGCACGGCTGACAAGGTTCTGCCAACAATCCCCAAGGAGCAGAGGACCAGGGTAGCCCACTTTTTGGAGAAACAGGTTTGTCCTCCAACTTTTGTGCAGCTCTGTGCCTTTCCTTTCCGCCTGAGCTGACTATAAATTCAGGATTTGACTATGGAATGCATAATTTCCCGAACATCAGGCAGCCAGATGGAGGAAAATCCTCTGAGCAGAATTCTTGTGTGTTTCTTTTAAAATATATTTATCATGGGAATGGTTTTGCTTCTCACGCAGTGTCTTTTACCACTTTACTTTCACATAGTTTCGCATATCTAATCTTGCACTGTCGGCCAAAGTGCCTTACATAAAAACAGACGACAGAGCAGAAAACATGGAGTGAAATATTTATAACTCTTCGTTGTGTTTTCTTGTGTTGTGTAGGGCTTCAGACAGCAGGCTCTGGCTGTGTCCACTGACCCGGAACACAAGTTTGAACTGGCCCTGCAGCTGGGAGAGCTCAAGATAGCCTACCAATTGGCTTCAGAGGCAGAGGTCAGAGAACACATACACACAAAAACAAGACCATAGCAGTGTCCTAAATCCATACTGCATACTGACTCTATACAGCATGCACTACATACTAATCGTCTAAGCAGTTTGTATACAAAAATATCCATGTGTGTGTAGCTGTCTTGCTGTGAGTTCCCCAGCACAGACACACAGAATAAACACTCCCTCTATATGCAATACTTTTATTTACTTCTGCTAAGCACACAATAACAAAATCAGATCGGCTCTTCCAGCACATGTCTCAGTGCATTCAGTCTTAAACCAAAAACTCAGGCACTTACCTTCTCCTTGGTCTCCTTGGTCTGGGCCGCAGTCCTTCGAGGGCCAGCACACTACTGCATCAAAAAGGGAGATGTAATAAGAACAAACCAGCAGCAGCTGTGTCAATCAACTCACCTGATACTACTCTCATGAGTCATCCCCCTTCACCTCTCCCCTGCAGCTGACTTTGAATCAGACCCACCTCCACAGTGTGACAGTCGGTTGTCAGTCAAACTGCAACTATGGAAAACTACTGCCATTAAACTTCACAAAGAGATGTCAGAATGTTTTGTTGAGGTTTTTCTCTCTTTTTTTAACTTTTTCACCACCACCCACATTTTTTCTGAGCTGTGAGGAGTGCATCCATTTCATATGTGAATTGCACTGTGGAAGAATAATGTGTGTGAACAGCACACTCAAAACTCAGCGGTATGCATACTGTCTGCTTTGAGTATTCTTTATTTTGTCTCTTTCCTTGTGTGAACATGCTGAAAACCTGCTGAGAAAGAATATGTATCAGGTTTGAGGCATGGCACAAGAGTCTACAGCCGTGCTAGCAGCTCTATGAGGCTGTATTGGTGCTCTGAGCTAAATGCTAACCTCTGCATGCTAACATTCTCACAATAACAATTGCATTCATGCTGTTGTTAAGCAGTTATTATCTTAACAATGTTCATGGTCTTAGTTAAGTGTACAAGAATGCTAATATTTGCTAATTAGCATTAAACACAGACTAAAGCTAAAGCTGATGAGAATGTCATTAGCTTTGTAGCTGTTTGGTCTTAAATCAGTGAACAAACTGAAAGGCAGATGAAAAGTCAGAGGGGCAATGATGTTACAATTCATCCTGAGGTGATAATGAATGTTAGCACTAAACTTCAACCTCATGTAGGCAAAAGTGGAAAAGTCCCGTTTAACAAGACAGTAGGATTAATTCTCTGGGAACAATGGCGATATATTTAATGGCAATCCATTCAACAGACGTAGATATATTTCACTGTGGAACAAGATGTGGACCAAGCTAGGTAAAAAAAAGGTTGCTCACAGTCTGGTTGGAGGATCCTAACGTTAGTTTATCTTATGATAGAATAATTCAAAAGACTTTTTAATCCATTCATCCATTATTTGTAACCGCTTATTCTATTCAGTGTCACTGGAGCCTATCCCAGCTCACATTGTCCAAAGGCAGGGTACACCCTAGAGAGGTTGCCAGACTATCACAGGGCTGGCACATACAGACAGACAACCATTCACACTCACATTCACACCTACGAGCGATTTAGAGTCACCAATTAACCTGCATGTCTTTGGACTATGGGAAGAAGCCAGAAAAGCTGGTGAAAAACTACAGAGAGAACATGCAAGTCCACACAGAAGGGCCCGAGCCAGCCAGTGGGTGTGAACCCTGAGCCCTCTTGCTGTGAGGTGACAGTGCTAACCGCTGCACCACTGAGCTGCCAAAACATTTTTCAATGATTTTCTTTCATCAGTAGCTTTGTAATACACAGGATAATGTATAGTCACAGCCCTGAGCTCCCATACTTGACAGCGCATTGTTGTTGAGGATCATGCTTTTCCTCCTGTGTTAATCCTCTCTCCTGTCTCTTTGGCACCTTGGCATGTGGGCGCTACAGTCAGAGCAGAAATGGAAGCAGTTGGCGGAGCTCGCGACGACAAAGTGCCAGTTCAGCTTGGCTCAGGAGTGTCTGCACCAGGCTCAGGATTACGGGGGATTATTGCTGTTGGCCACTGCCTCGGGCAACGCCAACATGGTGGGGAAGCTGGCCGAGGGGGCAGAGAGAGATGGAAAGACCAACGTGGCCTTTCTCACCTACTTCCTGCAGGGAAGGTGAGGAAGGAGCTATGCTCAAATCCAGGTTTCAATAATCTTGTTATATTTTTCTGAATTAGTTTATTTATTTTTGCACATCACCACTTCTCTGTGTTTGCCCAGATTGGACAAATGTCTGGACCTTCTTATTGAAACAGATCGGTTGCCAGAGGCTGCGTTTCTGGCAAGAACATATCTGCCCAGCCATGTGTCGAGGTAAAGTTGTTTCTGTTGAGTGCACAGCATATGCCTGGGTGTTGAACTCCAGTGCACTGGCTGTTTCTGTGTGCATACATTAATCTTATATCCATATGTGTCCTGCAGAACCTTTGCATACACCAGTTTGCCCCTTATTCTGAATTAATACGTGTTTTTGTTTCCCAGAGGACAACAAGTTTCCAGAAACCAAGATTTATGGGAAAAATGATGCTATTCCTAACAGTTTTTGATAACAGAAATGTCTATATCCGTGTTTATGTTTACATGATGCATCACTGATGAGCTGCATACACTCCCCTTCCTCCAGGGTGGTGAAGCTTTGGAAGGAGAGTCTGTCCAAGGTGAACCAGAAGGCAGCAGATGCTCTGGCTGACCCCACCCAGTACAGCAACCTGTTCCCTGGCCTCCAGCAAGCCGTGCTGGCTGAAGAGTACCTGAAGGAGACTCATGTCAGGGTCAGGCCTGCTGCAGAGTACCCACTTATCATGGTCAGTGGAAGTCAGAGGAGCTATACTTAAAGCTGTAATAGATCAAGGAGTCGTTTTATATTTTATAAATGTTGCACAAAAGGTTCACTGCTGCATAAGCTAATTTATTCAGTTTTATAGTCCGTTGTTGAGTTTGAATATCTTCTCTCAAATGATGTTCTTCTAATTCGTCGTCTGAATTAACTGTGCATACTCCAAGCATCGTGTTTGAGTTTTCATTTTTCCTGTCTCTCTTTGCTTCAGCCAAATGAGGACCGTAATGTTCTGGAGGAAATTGCAGGTTTTGTGCCCAAGGGAGAGATCACTGAGCCGGAGGTGAGGATCTATTGAGGGAGATATTGGATGTTTTTTTTCTGTCTTTGGCTGGAAAAAAGACTCAGAAAGGAAGGGTTCACATTTTTTTCAAGCTTGTCTTACTGTGGCGTAATACTCACATGCTCATATCTACAATAAAACAATAACTGTTCATGGTTATTGTTACTACAGTCCATACTGACGTAGAAGAGATCCACACTTTGCATAGTTCAAATGTAGGGACAAAACCAACAGTCTTCATTCCATGAAGAAATAAAATTCAGTTCAGCCAAAGCTAATATGGGGCTTCAGCAGTCTGAGTCAGACATATCAAGTGGGAATCTAGCAAAGTTCTTTTTATTACAAAATTCCCTCTTTGCATTAATATCACTCAGCAACAACTCACCAAGGACATACTATGTGGAGGAGAAACTGAGGCTTCAGCAATTAAAACAAGCTCCACCTTGAGCATCTGCAACAGTAAAATGCATCAATACATCATGACATACTGATGCACCAATATTACAAATCTAATTTAATACATTATAATATGAGACCACGGCCATTTTTCTGCTGCAAAGGTATTTTTACTTTTGATACTTAAAGTATATATTTCTAAAAACACTTCTGTTAGTAAGATTTTGAATGTAAGAGTAAAAATTGCTGAGTTTCAAATTGACCTAGCGTGGGTCCGTATTGCACAGACACGAAATTGAAGCACCTTGTCCTAGTAACCTGGTAGAAAACCACCCAAGACATAGGGTCATGTTGATGGTAAGATATTAACACTTAACACTGTGGCAGAACAACTCATTGGTACAGGGTAAAGTCAACCCAGTATGGCTTGGGTGCCATCTTGACTCGCACTGGGTCCATTTTTAACCCAGATTGTTAGTGTGTTGTAAAGGAGCATTTTAAAGGGGCAGTTCACCTCCAAATCAAAAAGACGTATTTTTCCTCTTACCTGTAGTGCTGTTTAGCAGTCTAGATTGTTTTGATGTGAGTTGCAGAGTGTTGGAGATATCGGCCGTAGAGTTGTCTGCCTGCTCTCAAATATAATGGAACTAGATGGCACTCGGCTTGTGGTGCTCAAAGCGCCAAAAAAATACATTTGAAAAACTCAACAGCGATGTCTCTTTCCAGAAATCATGACCTGGTTACTCAAGATAATCCACAGACCTTCTTGTGAGTAGTTTCATGTAGGAACTATTTTCTTTCTACTAAACTACACCCGCCAACCTTATCACTGTGCAGAAGGAAGTGTGCATCTACTCATGGACGAAAGAGAGGCTTGTGCTTGTCGCAGACGTAAACATTAATGGCGTCCTCCTCAGCTGAATGTTAGCTAGCTCAGTGGTGCTAGGTGAGCTGGCACTAGATGCATGCTTTCTTCGGTGTGGTGATACAGTTGGCAGGTGTAGGTCTATAGAAAGAAAATACTTCCTACATTAAACTGCTCACAACAAGGTCTGTGGATTATCTTGAGTAAGGGGTCATGATTTCTGTAAAGAGACATTGCTGTTGAGTTTTTCCAAATGTATTTTTGGCGCCGTGAGCACCACAAAGCAAGTGCCATCTAGTTCTTTTATATTTGAGAGAAGGTAGACATCTCTATGGCCGATATCTCCAACATTCATGAGCTCACACCAAAACAATCTACATTGATAAATAGCTCTGCAAGGAAGAGAAAAAATAGTAAAGGATCTGGACTGTTTTAATGTACATGTGGGCATGTGAGTATTATGGGAATATAAACTCATGAATTATATAGAACTTATCCTTTAAAACTAAATTGTGATTCTGCTTGTTTTAAATACAGGCAGTGGTGAGCAGCATAACTGAAACCGTCATGGTAGCAGCAATGACAGAGGCTGTAGCTGCAGAAACAGCAGCAGTGGAGGAACCCATTCCATTAAAACAGGAGATTATTGATCCTGTCTCAGCAGCAGCAGAAGAATCCATCCCAAAAGCAGCATCCCCTCTGCCTGTGCCTGTCACAGTAGTAGAGGAGCATGTTGAACCAGAGCAAGCAGAATCTGTTTCTTCTGAGGAGGACGTCATCGCTAAATCAGAGGAGGCATCAGTCTCTGTAGAGGAAGACATTGTAGAGTCCACCACAGAGATCGCCCCCGAAGAGCCAGAGGTGGTACAGTCCAACCTCATGGAAGATGTCACATCATCAGTTGAGGCAGATGTTCAGGAAATTTCTCCAGCTGCTGATGCTGTGCCTGCTGCCTGTGTATCTGAAACATATCTCATGGAGACAACATCAGAAACCATCGTGGCTACAGAAGAAACGCCAGTGACAACAGAAACCACAGCAACAGATGCCCCAGTTAGCACTGGTCTGTTAGTTGATACTGATGTAACAGAGTCTATAGCAACTGGCGAAGTGCCTGTTAATGAAGAACCAGAAGCACCAGTCATCGTAGAAACAGCAGTAAAGGAGACTCATGTCTCAGAGGAACTTGTTACAGAAGCAGCAGCACAACCAGTCGCAGTAGAGGAGCTCATCTCCTTTGAAAACACAGCCAGTCTGTTGCCAAATGAGCCTGTCCACCCCCCAACCTTTCCAGATTTTGCCCTTGATCCACTGCTGGACCCACTCGAAAATACAATGCCAGCATTGACACCAGTCTCGGCACAAGAACCCGAACAAGAGGAACAAACTGCAACACTCCCAGTAAAGCCTGAGGACAAGCTGGAGCCTGCTGTGCCACTACAGGCTGAGCCAGAGGTTTTATCCCCAGTAGCAGCTCCCACAGAGGGGAACATAGCGAAGGAGGAGGTGGCAGGTTCTGAGGGAGCTGAGAAACTTGCTGCAGAGAGTCTCGAGGCAGAGCTTAATGATGAGGTAAACGTTCGTTTTTAATTTACTAAGTTTGGCATGATTGTGGAACAAAATAAACAATAAATATGTGTATTCAGGAATTTCTTGTGTCTTTTAACGCAGCACCTTTTGTTTCCCACACGTTTAGATCCTGGATGATCTGGATCTGGACAATTTTGACCTGGAAGATATCGACACCACAGATGTCAACCTGGATGATGAACTGTTGAGTGAATAGGAAGAGGAATCAACCATGAACCAAACTTTTCAGTGACCAAAGAATACAAAGGGCTGTTTTCCAGCAGACTAAAATGTCTTTAAGCTTAATTTACAAGCATTTGCTTACTTGGTTGTGAACTGAAGTAGTATAATAAGATGTACCTTATCTGGTTTTTGTAAATTTGTGGTACTGTGGGCCTAAATTGTTCAAAAGTACACTTCCAAGAGGGCAGGTTTAACCTCAAATTAAGCTGCAGATGTGACATGTCCAGGCTGTACTTAAACCCAACCTGTGAGACCAAACCCGTGCAGTGGCACTCTGTAGTGAAAGTAATTAAGGGTAGATTTAAAGGTACATAAATGTGTCAAAGGAGAAAAAAGGACACGATATAGTCGGGTGTGTTTGGAAATATGGGATAGATTATGGTCAGTTAAAAAATCCACCTCAGCCTGTTGTTTGTGACCTCATTTTAAACCACATTTGCTGCTTAAACAATACTGCCACCACCATGACAGCTCGTGTAAGACTTCCTTCACATCTCTAATTTAGTATCATCAGTTTACAATCCATATTTTAGGGGTAGAATGTTTCTCATCTCTTGGTGCTTTAGCTGACTGCAGTGTGCCCCAGCATGGAAAGTGATGAAGAATCTCTCTGTTCTTCCTCCTCATATCCCACACAGTAACACCACTGTTGATCAGGGTGTTCTCCAAGCCAGTGAGGAATTCTTCAAGTTTGAATACAGCTTTTATTCTTGAAGTGAAATTTAACCATTTTTCTCTAACATTCCTGCTGGAGTTAAATAAGAGCAGTATTTTTTGAGTTTCTATCTGGAACTTGGCTGCCTCGTGTCTTCTGGGTACCATGATTTTTATAAATAGTATGTATTCAAAAACAAGCCCACAATTTGGACAAATCTCCCATTTGGTGATATCCAGTGTCTCCATTACCTCTTTTTTGCTGATGTCATAATAGTTTGGTGCATCTTTACCTCTCAAAGCTTGAATCAACTGACTCATATGAAATCTTCATCTGTTACAAGTGCCTTAGGTGTGTTATTTTTTAAAGACTGTTTTCCCCTTTTCTTAAAAAGGTTGGATGTACTGTGTTTCCACACTTGAAAAGTGAATTAAATAAGCTTCAGTCAATAAAGCCTTGTATGTTATCCAGGTGTCATGTTATGATACGCCAACAACACGTCACACAAGTACAAAGATCTTTATTTTTTATGTACATCATTTGACTTAACATATCAGGTTTGACTCAAAGGTCCGATGACAAACACATATAGACAGAGAATTTTACTACAGCTTCTCTCTGAATAAGTGACTAAATTCGTGCATCTTACATTAAGTTTCAAAGCTAATTCTTCTGGTCATGGCTGTGGAGCGAATAGCTTTCCTTTCAGTCAAGAACGACCCAAACAGTGAAGAACAGAGAGATGTATTTTACATATTCAATGTCATTTTCAGTCCTTTCCTCTGGTTATGGGTACCATTCCTCACTGTGGACAAATTTGTATATTTCTATCTAGGAGTGGGCCGGTCAAGCAGCAGAGCTCTCAGCATCCATCTGTTTGTACGCCTGCAGGGCCAGCTCGATGTAGCCTGACCTCTGGGACTCCTTCTGTGCATAGATCTGCAAGGACAAAGGGTCAGAGGTCAGCAAGACTGAGAAGAAAAAGGGCACCCCAATTACTTTGAGGCTGGAGCAGTATCAATTTATTTAGTGGCAGAATAATAAAACGAAGCTAAGTCAGTGCTCCGTGATCAAGCATGACTAAACGAGAGGCCTTGTGTGATAGTGACTGCAGCACACACACACACACACACACACGTGTCTCCTGCCGCTAACCTTTCACATTAAATGGCTGTCATTCTCAATGTCCCTCCCCATTGCTTCAAGGCTGAGGGGCTGTGAGCGCTAATAAGACCTGATGTGCTCTAAGCTTGGCCCCACTGTTCCCACGCTGGAGACAAACGCAGACCCTCTCACACAGGAAACCTAAGATGAGACGGCCTTGACTTGACCTCTCCAGAGCTGCACTGACTCCTGATTTACTCTAATACTCGAGGGGCACAATTTATATGACCTGGACGATTTCTGGATCAAATGGCAATATATAATATACACCCAGCAAAGGGAATAGAAGTGTAAAATTGAGCTACGAGTCAGCAGATATTTCCAGTCAAGGTTGAGTTATTCTCACCTGAAGGAGGTCAACACCGGTGGCCTGCTGGCTGGCAGCTTCCTGGGCCGACTCGCTGTGGGGGTGGACCATGTGGAACAGAGACACGAGGCTAATCGCATCCTGGAACCTGTAAACACACACATACACACTTGGGGGCTTAGGTCACAGATCTCTGCAAGCAGGTACTGTAGCCAGTGTGACGAGCATCGACAAAGAGTTTCCAGCTTCGAGCCTCAAATACAGAAACAGTCTTATACCTGTTTTAACCATTCGTGCATTCATCACACACACAAACAAACTCACAGCTCTCTCTTCAGCATGTCCACTATAAGCCCGTCTATCCTTCGAGCGTTGAGCAGGTACCACGCCATGCCTCCGAAATGTCTAGTGGAGCGCAGCAGGTCATATTTGCTATGCTTCTCCAGGTCTTCATAAGTGGCTGTGTGTACCTAGACACAAAGCATATGATCGTAAATCCAATGGACGTTGTCGACACTCTGCACAATGCTCCTCACATCAAATTCATAAACTTCCAATCCACACTCTTGTTCCATTTCACACTCTGTATCAAGTGACCCAAAGAAAATACAGCACTGACTGTGCAAATGTCATGGTTTAACGTACTATATACAGTCTACAGATTTGAGCGCAGTTGGTGATCAGGTCAAAAAAACAGGAAAATCAATGTCACCTTACCCTGATGTAGTCTGAGGAGTCTGGTTCAAATTGGACCAGACACAGGTCCAACACATCCTCATGGCGGTCCTGGGAAAACACCAACTGAAAGAGAAACGTAGAAATGGGCCAAAAAAATTAAAGCTCTGGACAATCACTGGGCACACACACAGGTGTTTTCACTTATTTTGCCTGATTGGACCTCTTCTCTGGACTGTACTGGTGCGCAGACCTCACATGGCATCTCCACTTACTCCATGACAGAGGAGACAGTTACAGCTTTATCACTGAGAGTGTTTGCATGTGTTACAGTGATTACCGTGACACATTCTGGGTATTCTGTGCGTCTTTGTGCATACAAACATCAAATCCTGGTTTCAGGAACATGTATTAGCTCTTACTAGAGTACTAGAAACCAGAATAGTGTGTATACATCTCAACTAGATGTTTGATCATTGTCTGCGATGCCAGTGCAGCCTCAACTCGACTCAGACAGCAGTGTTAGTAAATATGATAAAAAGATATGATGTAACAGAGTGTAATGATGATACACACTGAACCCGACGACTGTGATGTCAAAGAATTCAGTACTACAAGCACAGACTGTGAGTGTGTGTTGACATGGACATGATTAATCTGTTTAAGGTTATTTTTGAAGTAGCCCTTTTATATATTTGTAAATGAGAAACCTGAATATGCTTTCTGGAGTACGTAAGAAACCCGGATGTATATGGGTAAACAAATAACCCAATTTCTCTGTGCTCATGTTAACACCATATGCTGAATATGACCATAACTGGGACAAGCCTTACAAATGGGTTATTCATGTCCATGTAATCACACTCAATGTCGCCCACAAAAACAAGTATGTTGTTGATTTCCCACAAGGCATTGCACAAAGGAAATGCAGCAGCTGCTGATAGCTACAAAAAACTGTTGTTTTCACAGACGACATTTTGATACGTGAAATTATTAAAAGCTCTGCTGTTACTAAGAGCATTTACAATGGCTAAATTCCATTTAGCTGCTTCAGTTTCAGGTGTCTGGTACTGTACATGCTGGCTGTCTACTGTCATAACTTTGAGGGATACTGAAAGATAATGAAGCCGTCATAATGTTGTGATGAACACTACTACAAGTCAAAAGAGGCTTGTAAAGTAAATTAAAAACTGTAGTATAACAGCAAATCTAGAGTTATTAAATCGTTAGAAAACATTTTTTTTCTTCTTCTTTGTTTATTTGGCAGTGGCACACTAAAGGCATGTTGAAGATTCTCAGTCATATAGGTCATGGTAAACGTAAGTGCTAATTGTAGGCAACTGAACTGAAGCCTCTTGGATGAGACGTGGCACGTCTTCAAGCTTCAATCTTCCAGTTGCCTACGATACAGCACGCAAGACTCCACAGGCAAGAGTTTGAATGACCTCTGTCTGTGCACTATACAGTGCCCTCCAAAAGTATTGGAACAGTGAGTCCAATTCGTTTACTTTTGTTGTAGACTGAAAACATTTGGGTTTGACATCAAAAGATGAATATGAGACAATAGATCAACATTTCAGCTTTTATTTCCAGGTATTTACATCTGGATCTGATACACAACTTAGAAGATAGCATTATTTGTAATGGAACACAAAATTTTTAGGTGAGCAAAAGTATTGGAACATATAAACTTAAAACAGATTAAAGTGAATGAGACTTAATATTTAGTTGCAAATTCTTTGCTTTCAATAACTGCATCAAGCCTGTGACCCATTGACATCACCAAACCTTTGCATTCTTCTTTTGTGATGCTTTTCCAGGCTTTCACCGCAGTCTCTTTCAGTTGTTGTTTGTTTTGGGGGGTTACTCCCTTCAGTCTCCTCTTCAGCAGGTAAAATGCATGCTCTATTGGGTTTAAGTCTGGAGACTGACTTGGCCAGTCTAAAACCTTCCACTTCTTGCCTCTGATGAACTCCTTTGTTGTTTTGGCAGTGTGTTTTGGGTCGTTATCTTGCTGCATGATGAAGGATCTCCCAATCAGTTTGGTTGCATCTTTCTTTAAATTAGCAGACAAAATGTTTCTGTAGACTTCTGAGTTCATTTTGCTGCTGCCATCATGTGTTACATCATCAATGAAGATGAAAGAGCCCGGCCCAAGCCATGACATTACCTCCACCGTGTTTCACAGATGAGCTTGTATGTTTGGGATCATGAGCAGATCCTTTCTTTCTCCAAACTTTCGCCTTTCCATCACTTTGGAAAAAGTTAATCTTTGTCTCATCAGTCCATAAAACTTTTTCCCAGAATTTTTGAGGCTCATCTCTGTACCTTTTGGCAAATTCCAGCCTAGCCTTCCTATTCTTCTTGCTAATGAGTGGTTTGCATCATCTGGTGTAGCCTCTGTACTTTTGTTCATGAAGTCTTCTGCGAACAGTAGATTGTGATACCTTCACTCCTGCCCTCTGGAGGTTGTTGCTGATGTCACTAACAGTTGTTTTAGGGTCTTTCTTGACAGCTCTCACAATGTTTCTGTCATCAACTGCTGATGTTTTCCTTGGTCTACCTGTTCGACGTCTGTTGCTTAGTACACCAGTGGTTTCTTTCTTCTTCAGGACATTCCAAATGGTTGTACTGGCTATGGGCAATGTTTGTGCAATGGCGCTGATTGATTGTCCATCTTCTCTCAGATTCACAATTGCTTCTTTTTCACCCATAGACAGCTCTCTGGTTTTCATGTTGGTTCCACCTCTAAATGCAGTCTGCACAGGCAAAACCTATCGTACCCAATCTGAAACTGAGCTCAGACATTCAGTGCTATTTATTGTTTGAATAATCAATGTAATTGGGAGACACCTGGGCAACAAAACACACCTGTCAGTCACATGTTCCAATACTTTTGCTCTCATGAAAAATGGGTGGGTTCAAACAAAAGGTGCTATCTTCTAAGTTGTGTATCAGATCCAGATGTAAATACCTGGAAATGAAAGCTGAAATGTTGATCTCTTGTCCCATATTCATCTTTTGATGTCAAACCCAAATATTTTCAGTCTACAACAAAAATAAATGAAAAGTGGCCTCACTGTTCCAATACTTTTGGAGGGCACTGTATCTTAATTTTCTGGCCTTTTCCTGTCATAAAAACATCCATCAAATAGTGCATTATGAAAACAAAATACATGTGTACAAACCTAAACAGGTGTACATTAACCTCACAGGTCAAATGAGATGTGTCAGCCAGAGTAAGGGAGGAGGTGAAAGTGTAAAAGGGGGAAAGAGAGAGCTGGAGGGAGAAAATGTAACACTGATTTAGTGATGTAGAT